TTGTTTATAATATGAGCAATCTAAAATTAAATCTTTTGTATTAGTTGCCTGAAGCCATTTTAAGACAAAGAAAATTGCATATTCGATATTATTTGCTTGGTGTTGTAAAATTGCTTGTATTTTTGCGTATGTAAGACCTTCACTCTCTTCTTCAATTTCAATTATATCGCCAACATAAAATTTAAGTTGATTTGATTTTCTATCATTTTCAATGATAGTATATGAAATATAATTAAAATAATCTAACTTATCATAAAGAAAAGCACTTTGAATACTAAAATATTCTAAATATGAAAGTTGTAAATCATGATAAAGAGGATGCTGGCTGCTTAGTTTTGTTAACCATCCTTCATTATTTGTTCTTGTTTTAGACTACTTATTCTATAATACTATGTTTATAAAATTTTTTGGTATTAAATTTAAGATAATGTCAACTTCTTCAATATTATCATTGATCTTTTTAAAGTTTGGATCTATAGTATACTACTTGCAAAGAATTGAATATAGTGAATTGTCTGAAGAAAGATTTGAAAGTTTATTTGCAGTTGTTGGAGAATGATAATCTTTATCACCATCAAATAAGTAAGTTAATGCAAATAAAGTATTATATCGTCAAAGAAGATCTAGTTCAAGATTTTTGTAATTAGTATGTACCACCATATTTTTGTATATTCTGTGCACCATTTCTTTGACTCCAACAGATATATTAACAAGAGTTGCAAAAGTGCGAGCATGTTGTGGCAGATGAATGCTTACATGGACATTAGGTAAATTTTCAAATTCATCTGAAAAAATTTTTAATAAGTTGATTTGTTCTTTTTCAAATAAACAGCAAAGCTCCTTATAAGTATTATTTGTCATTGTTGTTGAGAAAGCTAATTTGAGTAGCTTTGCTTCAATGACCCAAAGCTCTATTAGTTTAATAATAGCATGATCATTACGAGTAAGCTGATATACATTTTTTAAATATTCAATTATTTTAGTTTTTAAATGTGAAGATGATAAAAAGTAACATAAAATAAATGGTATTAACATTGCTAAGCGCAAAGTGTCTGAAAATATAAAACTTTGATGATGAGTTAGTGGATTTGGCATCTGTGACCATCTTGCTAGTTTTTTTATACTTTTCCAACATTTAAGCCAAGCTACTTCTCTATTAGTATTTAAACATCTAAGAGTTATATCTAAAAGATGCGTAGCTTTACCAGCAAGTGCATAGTAAGCATCTTGTGATGTTTGTAAATGTCTGTTCCAATAAAGTTTATTAAAAACTGGCTTTTTACTAAGTCTATATTGACTAGATAATTGTCGATATGCAGAATTTGTTTTTTGCTATGCAATTTTATTATATTGTATATCAGTTAAATGATGAAAACGTGCATTTGAAATAAAGTCAAATTTGGAATCTGTTAGCTGGCTGCTAGATGCAGTACAAGTTCTGCAACCATAGTTTGCATTATGTTGAAGAACACTAGCAAGGTCATTACTTTGTAGTAGGTCAGCCGTAACACAGCCAAGTCCACCTACAATCCATATTTCTCCTTCTAATGTATTTACAATTTTTCCATTTTGTAATTGGTAAATATTATTAAGAATTGGTTTAATATAATTATTAAATGAAGCCCCAAACAGAACAAAGCCAAGTAAAAAATGATTTTTGGTTAACTTTCGTAACTCAAGTGGCATATTTTCAATAACCAAATAAACACCACCTAGTGAATGATATGCATTATGAAATGTACCAAAATTATCATAATATATGTCAAAAAAACCTTCTTAATAGGCATTGGACGTGGTGGTAATGGTGGGATAGGTATATATTCATAAGGAGCTTTGTGCTTTTTGATAAGATCACGAATATGCCACCAACCATTAAAGCTATATAATATTTCAGTTACAAAATATTCATATTCTGCTAGCCTATTAAGATTCTTTAGCCAAACATTAATTGAAGTAATATTTTCAGGTATAATCAAATATTCTTGCCCTTCAACAAGCCAAAGTTCTATACCCATTTCACGTGTTTTTCTATTATTACTACGCAAGTGTTCGGGAAGCCCATGATATAGAACAAGTGAATCAGCTCTGAGTAATTGTCTTTCATTAACTTTAATGATACTACAAACACATACAAACTTAATTGCTTTATCTTGATTATACTGATAAAAGTTGCCTGCCTGGTAAGTAACTAGTTAAAAATAATAATAATAATAATAATTAATTAATAAGATAAAACTAGATATTATTATAATATTTGCAATATAATACATCAAGATTTTTTTTTTAAAAAATACTGACTATTATTTATGCAAAGTTTAGATTCTCCAAATAAAGGCGAGTCTTGCCAGAGTTCACTATGCCATAATTTATGTTTTTCATCATATACAATACCGGAGCCAAAATATAAATAAGGTGCAATTGTTGGATTATTAAGAATATATTCAATATAATTTGCTGGCATTATTGAATATGTAGGTTTTGTTGGATCTGAGTTTGATGGTGTGTGTTGCCTAGAAATTGGAACTGTATGACTCCAAACTTTAAGCAATGGGAGTCTATTTCTCTATTTGCGAAAATGCCTTATATTTGCAATAACATGTTCAGGCTGGAAGTCAGGATGTTTAAGAATTTTGGTAAGTTCTTTATAGGCAGTTGTAGAAATCATATGCTCTGTAACCCATAAAAAAAGCATAGTAGATGTAAAAGTCAGAAAATATGGTCCATATTCTCCATTAAACCCTTAAAGGATTGTGATCGGCTCTCAAATAGTTTGTATTCTTTGATACTCTGTTCTATTTCTTCAGCAGTATTGTTATTATCTGAATTCGTCAAATCATTATCATTATCATGTAAATAGTTTTCATAGTCTTCCAAATTTTCCGAATTTACATTATCATACAAGTATTCTATCTCATTATTCTTTCAATCTACACTATCTAGAAAATATTCCTCTTCACTAATCTCCCAATCTACATCTTTATCTGATTCACTTGAGTATTGGTATGTCTCACTAGAATATTGATCTAGTTCATTTGATTTATTTGAATATTGTTCTGAATCACTTAAATCATTATCATTTGAATATTTATTTAAATTTTCTAAATTACTTAAATGATTTGATTGTTCATTTGATTTGTTTGCTAGTAACTTATGGGTAATAGGTAAAGAACTTTGATACCTTTTAGCTGGTTTTGTACGAACACGAAGAAGAGGCAAGGGCATGTAGAATTTTTTTACTCTATTATGTTAATTGCTCATATTAAGGCTTGCCTAATTTAATAATTGCAAGCAAAGTATATATATTTACTTTTAATCATATATTGATTCCTCTTATTTTCTTACTAGTGATGTCTTTTTCTAGTTTAACTTTACACAATTTATGCACGACAAAATAAATCTTTTATTACTTTGTTCAGGTAAAATATCTATTAATAATCATTATTTTTTCTTTATACATCTCTTATTACAAACTATATACTTTATGCATACATTAAAATAAACTCTGCATGCATTATCTTTATATTACACTAACCCTGCATTTTAACTCGAGAACTGTATCACCTGATTTTATATAAATTATAAGTTTCTAAATTAAAATAATATGATTGGTTATACTTATATCTAGCTTTTTGTAAAATTAGAGATTTAAGATGGTTAGAATTAAGGGCTTAGTAGCAAAATCTGGGGTCAACATCCTAATTCTGAATCAGGCTACAACATAAATACAGTATACTGGTTATCGTTATTGTTATCGTGTACGTACATACTAGTACATACTAGTACAGTATGTACATATTTGACCAGTTTAGACCTGGGATTTATTGTGTTGCAAATAGTGATGCAATAAATAGTGATGCAATAAATATAGTGATGCAGTAAATAACTTAAAATTTATTAACATTAATATATAAATTATCGACATAGAATAGAAATTGAATGAACGAATTTAAGACATTTATTCATTATCAGAAAACCGGTGAAAATAATATAACAACTTGTAAATTTTTTTTCCAACATAATTGCCATGGATAGGGATGTAACCCAACCGACTTGTATTACATTTATTATTAAATAGAGTTAATTGATTCATTAGTATCTCTAATCATGGATACTCTTAAATTCCAAATAGAATTTTATTAATATATCTAATTAATTCATAATATAGTTACATTTGAGAATGATCTAAAGTATCAATATAATTACATTGAAAATATTCTAACATACATAAGACAAGATTACATAGAATGATCTTAAGTATCAATTAATTACATTAAAAATGGTCTAATATACATTTACATAAGACAAGATTACATACTTTGTAATTCAATCATAAATTGATCATTATATTTATCATTATATTTATCATCATATTTATCATTATATTTATCATCATATTTATATTATTTTTGTATACATATAAAGAAATCATATTTTTTTTTCATATTTACCTTTCGCTTCATTAATATTTTTTTTCTATTCACCTTTCGCTTTGATTTATAATTTTCTTTTTTCTAGTTCACTTTTTGCTTTATTATTTTTTCACTCTTATAAATACATTGTCATACTTTTTAGATCATATTCGTTTCTATAAATAAATTATTATGAGCCAAAGAACTGAAGATATAACTCGTCCCACTATTGCTAATATCTATACGCGCGTAAGTAACCTTGCAGAGGTTACTTCAGAACTTTCCACTAACACACAAAAATTAACCACAAAGCTTCTTGACTTCCAAATGAATCAAGAAAAGGCAAACACTGAGTTCTTAACTATATTAGATAAGATTCAGAATCAAATTAAAAAACTTGAAAATTCTAAATATAGCACTGAACTAGATTATAAACTTAGCCAAATAGCAGATACTATTAGTGAAAAAATTACCGAAGATGTAGAAGTAATAGCTAGTGATATGACTAGATTCGTGGATGAAGTTGTTAATAAAGCTTTTGATAAAGTAATGAGTGAAATTAATAAAAGTACAGAAAAAGCTTTAAATGAAGTTGAAGATGATGATGATGATTATATTGATGAAGACGCTAAAGAGGTCTTTGATTGTACAGAAAATGGCCAACCAGCAAAACGAAACAAAAAAAGTCTCATTACCTTCCAGTTTTGAGAGAACAGATTCATATAAAAATTAATCAGCATTTAGACTAGGCAAAAAATAAACAAAAAAAAAAATTCAGTGTTGCTAAGGATATTGGATATGAATATATCTATAATCTAGAAGAAGCTCCTGTGGCACCCACAATAGAGATGTCACTGAAGAATATGTAAAATTTTTCTTGTGGAAATTGAAGAAAAATCCAAAAACTTGTATGTTAATTCATTTAGTCTTACCTTGCTAGATTTACTACCATTGTTTTCGAATTAGCACGATAAGAGAATTTGTGAATAGTATGAATCCTGCATATTACTGTTGTTTTTACAATAGTAATATACAGGATTTATACGATTTACAAATTCCCTTATTATGCTAATATATTAATTTTTATACATTTATTTATTTATTTATTTATTTATTTATTTTTTTAGCTGAAGGAGAAACATAGACAGTATCAGCTATTCAAAAAATATGTATTGCATACGTTATCTATTTGCGTAAGCAACACCTTTTGTTAGATAGTAACCCAAGTAAATTGCAAGAGAATGTTATTACACTTCGTCGTAGCCAACGCTGCCATAGAGTAAGTATTTTTTTATTAATGTTTTTTTTTTCCACTATAAATATAATTGTCTGGAACGACATGACAGACCTTTAATTTCTATGTATAGTGATACAAAAGTTACTTTCTTGATGCATTAAATCTTAAAATATCAAAAAAGTAACTTTGCATTTTCCGTCTGTCCGCTATTAGACAAAAGTTACTTTCTTGATGTATCGGATATTATTGCCTTTAGAATTAAGAGTTTTTCAAAGAAAACCTTTTTTCTTTACAAATAAATCTCTTCTCAACGCTTAAGTAAAGTTGTAGAGGAGTCTCTTGCGATCAGAATGGCGGTTAAACTGTTAACATCGGCCTAGTAGGTCATGAGAAATAAGTATTTTTGTCTTCGTGATTATATGTTTTTTTCTTTATATAAATAAAAAAGAAAGCATATAGTCGTTAAGATTAAAATACTTATATCTCGCGATCTACTGGGCTGATCTTAGCGTTTTAACTGCCATTATGATCGCAAGACCCTCCTCTACAACTTTACTTAGAAGTTGGAAAGCGATTAACTAATAAAAGTTTTAAAAATTCACAACATTTTTATAATTTTATTAATAAAATTATAGAAAATATTAAAATCCACAAATTTATACTAATTAAACCTAC